GGGAGAAGAGAGACTTTCCAGCCATCTGTGTGTGTGTGTGTTTGTGTGTGAGTTAAAAAGGTGATATTGTAAACACTTCAGCTGCCACTCAGCTGCACAGCCCTCCATCCCCTCCTCTGCAAATTCATGCAGTGGTTRCATATCCATCAGAAGTGGCCGATATGTCAGTTAACAGGTGAGAGGTGCAGTTTCTCAGCCAAGCCAGTATGGACAAATCTAATGTTTTATTTGGGAACCCATTTATTACCCTCTAGAGCAGAATTACAGCTTCAGTCTTTAAAATCTACAGCATGGATGGCAAATTGCCCCTATTTCACTATAATACCCTCTACATAAGCCTCTGCCTACATTTTCAACAGTGGTGAAATTTTTTGCTTGCAGCTTTCTCACACATTGTCACCGCTCTCCAGCTCTGCAACACTTAGGCAAAGGTGACTACACCACCAGTCCCTCACATCTGCATTGTTTCTCCTTTGTTTTCATGTACAACTAAAAATTGCCTTCTCCTTCTTTTTGAACTCATTTTTTGGGGTATGGCAACCAACCCCAGAGTGTGCTGCCCTTTGAGTCAGCCCTTCTCTTGACTTAGCATTGACCATCGAAGATGCAGCAGGCATGAAAGGTCACATCAYCAGAATTCCTTATCTKTAATCAGRCATCCATTCCCCCCTCTGCTTTAAYCACTTCCCATCTCACTTTAGATCTCAGTAAACTTTTTTATCCCCTCCATCATTCTTGCTTTTCTTCTGTTCACTTATGTGATGAAACACTCATTTGCACACAAACAGCTATTACTATTTATTTCTTACTATGKTATTTAGGCCTGCACAGGATTTTCAGAGAATAAAATCCATTGAAAAGAAAATAAAATAAAATTACATGAATATCATATAATTTAAAAAATAGACAATATACTCTGCAACCTCTTATACTACACTTTTGAGGACAAGCAAAGGGAGCTAAGACTAATTTCTGGTAATGAACAAAAAAGAAGCAGGAGATGAAAAGGCTCCAGCCAATAATCCTTGATGGGCTGGTATACTGTAAAAATCTGTTCAAGTATCTTTTACAACTGCATGAACCCAACTGCACTGCTCTTTTGAACTCTAGCCTGCCACACACAGCAAAAGAAATGGAAGAGCAGTCTGACTGAGACCAAACGGTCTTTTGGAGCTCAGGATCTCCAGCAAAGGWCAAAGTGATCACACAGAGACTTATTCCAGGGATATGCTCCCAGCTGGATACAGAACAGCACTGTCCTGAATCACGGGCATATCACCTGTGTGCTTTGACAGAGATTTTTCTGTGTTTGGTGACACACTTTTATTTCATTTTACTAAATTCCACTTTTTTTTTCTGAACCCATGTAAATGTCTGGAGCATGCAATATTCTCAACCACACAACACAGGAGGCATCTCCCTTTGCTCTGAACCTGACATACATTAGCTTCATTTGCTGCCTATGAGACCTGGTGAGACACAAACATCCTGAAACTGTTCATCTTTTTCATTTGTGTTTACTATTTCCACCGTTCAATCCTCTCATTCCAAGGATGATAAGTCCAGCTTTATTTAAGCATTTACTTGTGCAGAGTTGCTTTCACACCTTCTTTTTCTGTTACTCTGCATTGTACTTTCTGCAATYCTATTTATTCATTTTCAAGATGGAAGCTGGATAGAACCACACAAATTACAGGTTTCTGCAGCTCTGCCTGCTTTGTTTTTTATTTTCTGCATAATCATCCCCAATGTTCTGTTTCTTGGACTACCACTGAGCACAAAGCCAAAGTTTTAATAGAATTACCTTTTATAATGTGAAGGGTTTTTTTCATGAACGGAAATAGAATGTTCAAGAGCTCRCTGCCACTCACATAAAGTTAGGATAATTCTTCCTTTTCAATGCACTCTTCAATATTTCATCTGCCATCCATCACCCAGTCATTCAATACTTTTAATCATGTATTTCAAATTAGCATTAAATGGAGTAAACATCCTTCTTACCTGTTAGTGTCACTTAGTGAAATTSCAGAACTTTGGTTATATTAAGCAGAAAATAAGCTTTCAAAACAAACCACAAATACCTGTTAGCTCAAGTAGCATTATTCCACCCTCCAGTAAGAGTTTACTCAGATGATTTATTACTCACTGTTTTATTACTAACTGCTGCTCTAACACCTTGGTGTGTTCCATTCTGCCTGAGTGCAATCCAGGTAGATTTTCCTTTCTCCCCATGAGGTAAATTTGCTCAGACAGACTCAAAACAACATTAACAAAGCGCTATTTTTACATGATCTAACAAAGGTAAGAAACATTACGGGGAATGGTTTCAGGTATTCGTAGATGCTTTGTTATCCTTGTAATAAGTTCTGTTCTGCCTGCAATACATGCCAGCAGCTGAAACACCAGAAGATACAGCAGAGCAGCAGATGTAGAGGTAAGAAAATTATACATTAGTGAAGAGAAAGGTGAGGTGAGTTAATGGATAGTTTTCAGTCAAAAATTAGGAAAGATGATAAATTTGAACTCTGAAAAATTAACTGTGGAAACAGAGCACTGATGTTTTGATGATAAATCAATCATGCAGGATTGATTTATCCATCCAAACAGCAAGTCAAAGTCCCAACAAAACAAATTTCCCCTTGCTGTTTCTGGATGCACAAACTGGACACTACATGATTGCAGCAGAGCATTCAAGATCCCAAGTCTGCAAGCCAGTTCCCACAGGCAGACACACCTAAAAGAAGTTTCATGAAAGTGCAAAGTCTCAGGCTGAGTTTGTCCAGGCAGCTGACACAGAAACTAAACACGGGGCACTGCTGTGCTCACCACTGCAGCACAAAGACTTGTGACAGGCAGAGGTGTCAAGAAAGGAGCACTTGACAGGCAGCACCTGGCTGGCACCCAACCAGCTCTTCAGCTTGATGTGCTCATCTTCTAAAAATATCAGTGGGCATTTAAAAAAAAAAAAGCACATTTATGTATCACAACATATTTTAGTTGCTGGACAAAAGCCAAAGTGCCCTGCTGCTAGCAGGCTGTGTCAAAATGGAAATGTATTATACAAATTATTGAAGTGTTAAGTCATTCAGTATGCATGCTGTCCAAAATTTTAAAGGGTCAAGAAACTGTAGGGCTACAAATACATGTATCTTTAATTTCAGGTTAAGATGCAAGCTGCTGAACTTAGGGAACGAGTTTGCATATCTGTTAACAGCTTTCTGCATCCCTAAATTCCTGAATCCACATGCCAGGTCTCCCCTACAGTGCCTACTATGGATCATGTAACAGGTCTAGTTTGCTGCACACGGWCCAGCTGTCATGGTAAGGAAAAGGAAGGGAACCCTCAGAGAGGAGCTGTGGGCTGGGACACCCTGGAAGAGTCTCTGGCTGTAATCAGGATGCCTGTAAATATAACACATGCAATGCATGGCATAATATATATAATTGAATGCAATGCAATGCAATGCAATGTAATATAATATTATATAATATAATTATATATTATATTATACCATATGATAAAATTATATAAACATGATATATTATATAATTATATTTTATAGAGAATATATTATATAATATACATTATATAATATACATCATATAATTATATTATATCATATAGAATATATAATGATATATATTTAAAAATATTATATACTGTATAATTACATTATGCAACATAATGTAATTATATATATTATGCGACACAATTATATACAAATATATATATATTATAATATATAATACAATATCATGTATATACTATATTGTATATATTATATTATCTTGTATTTATTATATTATTATATTTCTTATATTATTATATATGACAAAATGACTGTAACTCACAACAGAGGCAATGGTTGCAACTAGATCTTGCTGAATGAAGACATCTGAAACTCAGGTGAAAACTAAATGTCTGRTTCTAGTAGTTTCTGTTTGTTGCTAATGGAATTTTTATTCAAAAATAKAGATTACAATGTTTATCCTATTTCTACGTCCATTTGTGTTCCTGTGCCAAGAGTAGCTATGAAAAAACAAGTCAGCATTGCTTTCTAACCAGTTTCCCTTCCTTCACACAGCASAGTAGACAAGCAGAAGACAAAAGGATTGCAGAGCTGTGGCAACTTCTGTATGTGCTGCCCAAATATTATCTACTGCAACAGACATAACACAACATAACAAAATATCACAAAAAAAAAAAGTAAAAGGTTTCTTTTTCTGATCTTAAAACACTAGCCATGGAAAACAGAGGATGGATGAAGATGGATATTCARTGACTGTATCCACACAGGTAACAGTAGGTATATGCAAGAATGAAACAGAGATTAGATGTGGGGATCAGATTCTGCTGCGGACTACCTTTAAGAAATTTCCCATATTCTTTTATGCTCAGAGTTTCTGGTACTCACAAAACCTGATTAGGGCTGCCTACCAGATGWATTTCTGCGTTTCTGATCCTACTTCAGAAACAAATTGATTTGTGGTGTTTTGTGGGGGAAYGGGGCCCCACAAACCCTGATTCTGAAACTCAGGCAATCACTGTGTATGACTGAGGCCTGGGAAAAGGAGTGTTAACTGCCCACATGGAGGAGGAATGCTGTATCCTTGAGAAAAGCAGATTGGAATGCCGAATTGATAACGCAGGTGGCTGAAAATTAGAAACATTACTAATACTGTAGCTTTTGCAAACTCACCAATTATGTTCTGATTACTAATGAAACAGCTGTCTCTTGACCAATGTATGTTTGGTTGCTAAAGTGGATAAAAGAGGCTTGTCCCACAATAAAGTCCTTCTTTCTTTCTGTTTTTTCACCCACTTCTGTGTGTTTTGTATCTATTCTTTTCTGTCGCTGTTGGCCAGCAGCAACAGTTGGCCCCGAACAGGTAGAACTTGCTGCGAGCAGCCTGCCTGGCCCCACTCTCTTTGGGGTGCCTACGCCTTCGAGACAAGGTCGGGGATCCTGCCCAGAGCAGGAGTGCTGAAGAGCGGCCTCCCAGCTGCTCGGTTTCGCCGAGAGCGGAAAACCCGGGTGCAGAGACGGTCCGGACCAGAAGTAAGAAACTTGAAACCTGCCTCCTGAAGGTGAGGTGAGACACCGGGAACTTAACCCATTATGGGGAATAATCTGAGCTCAGAGGAAAWAACTGTGTTAGCCACGTGGAAAACGATGCTGCAGAGCAAAGATGTAAAGATAGCGGACTCTGCTTTGCAAGATATCTTGCTGTGGGCAAAAGAAAACCGTTTCCCTACTGATTCCAGGGCAGCATTTAGTGTGTCCTCATGGAAGAGCATTGGAGATGCTTTGTGGGACTGCCTGTCTCTGGGAGACAAACGCGCAAACAAATTAGCCACCACTTGGCGTTTGTTATATGATACCTTGAAAGAGTGGAAGAAAGCCCAAGATCGGGAACTGGGGGAAAACCAGCCAGGTGGGGGATCGGGGCGGTCGAATTGTTCCGAAACCGCCAGGACTCTCGACAGTGCGGCGGTACCTATYTCCCCTCGCGGCTACCTTTCCCCCCGGGACTACGTTCACCCTGCGTATCCAGCTCCTAGTGATCTGTTGCTTCCGCGGTATCCTTCCCCGGACGCGCAGCTGGCGGAATTACGACTGGCGGAGCAGAGAGGGGGGAACCCCGAAACCCCCRCGCCCGAGCCGCTCCCGCTGCCTGCGCCTCCGCTTTCTCCAGGGAGGGGGRAGGAGCCCGCMSCRCCGAGCCCCACAGCGCCCGGGCCGGACCCGCGGCCTCCGCTACCACCGGGGGCGRGGRSCGAGCCCACCGCTTCGGCGCCGATCCCGCTGCCGGGGGAGGGGGAAGGGAGCCCCGCACCGCCACCGGCTCTGCTGGTGCCAGGGCCGGGGCTGGGCTCCCAGTCCGCGCTGCCCCTCCCGGAGCCGCGGCCGGAGAGCGGGGGAGGGGGCGCCGTCGTGCTCGCGCTGCCCCCCCGATCAGACCGCCCGCCGGACCGAGAAAAATTCCATCCCCCGCTTCCTCGCGATTCGGATAGTGAAGGATCTGTAGATGGAACCGAGACGGAAGGCAGGTCGCGTGTACCGAGCCCTGCCCTGGCTAATGCGGTAGTTTGCAGGCGTCCCCGCAGTCGCTCATGTAAAGCGTTATCTGAGCCTGTGGCTCTGCCTGCCTGTAGCATTACTAGTCAGTCTCGGAATCCAAGACGGTTGTGGGAGCAAGTGAAGCTGGATGCTTTGGAAAAAGGAAACTGGAATACGCTGGAGAGGATAGGGATGCCTCTTGCTAGCAACGGGAATAAAGCAGGGACAGGAGATATTCAGGCATTCCCGGTTTATGAGGCTGTACCAGGTTCARGCAAGACCGATAGCCATGAGGCGATTGCCTGGAAAGTCGTCCAAGATATACAATCCAGAGTTGCTGAGTACGGTTTGGGGTCCCCGGAACTTATGCAAGTTCTCCGGGTGATCAATACTGATTTGCTGGCTCCTTATGACATTAAACATCTTGCCCAAATGTTGTTCCAGCCAGTGCAGTATGGGGTTTTCGAGACCAACTGGGGGCTTTTGGCTGACAAAGCAGCTACTGCTAACATGCATCGGCCACARGAAGACCCCAGACATGCTGTTGGTGCTGATGCCCTGATGGGGAGGGGCCCATTTGCCCTCCCAGAAGTGCAGGCTAGGTGGGATCCTATCCTGCT